CGGGACAGAGAAGGGGTCTGTTCCTCTCCATTGAGGGGGCAAGGGGTGGGGAAGGGAAACGAGGTGGAAGAAGGTGAAGGCAGGCCCGACCTGCGGGAGGCAGAACAGGAGGGACAGGGTGTGCAAGATACAGACAGACGGACAGACAGAAAAATACGGAGGAGAGGTGGAAGAAGGGAAAGGAAGTTGGATGGGGAGGACAGAAAGGAATGGGGAAACAGAAGAGACAAGTGGTTAGTGACTTGGATTTCAGACCAAGTTGCCACCCTTCTTCCACCCACAGGCCCCTGGCCCCTCCTCCCTCCCCCCAACAGCCCTTCTCTCTTCAGCAGGGTCCCAAGCTAGAGGTGGGGTCAGATGTGGTAAAGGTCCTGTACAAAGTCGGTGGAGGCCCAGGAGCCAGTTCCCCAGACCCAGCAGTCCCTTCCCAGCTTCTTTATCCCTCCCAGGCAGGCTCTCCCCAGGGACTCAGGAGTCCCAGTCCCCACCTCCCTGGGAGGGAATGAGACAGACAAGGAAGAGAAAATAAAAATACCAAGTCATTAATTAGCAGGAAGTGGCGGGTTTGTTTATACGTGTTAATTACTCCTGAGCTATAATTTCATGGCACTGAACCCCCACCCTGGGCCAGACTTGGGTCTTTCTTGGGACCGAACAGACCCAAGCACCTTCTTTCCCCTTCATGACATTCCCTAAGGATTTTGCAACCCTCAGACTCCTATCTCCCCAGCTTCCTTTCCTTCTTCATAAGTTGGGGTACCTCAAGTCAGGGGTTAGAAAAGGGAGGCGATACTGGAGGGGCAAATCCAGGGACAGATGCGTGATCCTGCAGCCGGTTGCCGGGCGACGGGATGCTGCCCCGCAATGTTACCTCGGCAACGGGGCTGCAGCTTTAACCCTGGAGGGGGTGTCTGGAGGAAGAGGGGAAGGGGTTGGCTTAGTTATGGGGTCCATTCAGGGCATGATGGGGAGGGCAGAGGCGTGAGTCTGAATACTAGTTTTCCCCAATAGTAGCATAGATGAAGTATATATGTTGAGGGGTAGGGGAATCTGGGGGCATGGAGAACCCTAAAGATCCGCCTCTTGCCCCCCTTGCGAGCCAATCAGAGCTTAGTCCTAGTGACCAGGCCTCTGACTGGGGAGAAGGGGCACTGAAGTGGCTTGGGAGGCATCAAATGAGCCTACTGACTGCCCCCTCCCACAATCTTGAACAGCTCTGGACCCCAGACACCTCCTCTTTCGCTGCATTTTGACCTATGTCCTGGGGGCAAACCTTAGCTTTATTCTCCTCTCTTCCCATCCCATCCATTCCCCTTTCCTTCCCCTTGCCAGTGTCCCCACCATTGCTGCTCTGAGGCCTGTGTACTCAGGGCACCAGGGACAGGACAAGGGAAGAGATCAGACCCAAGGGGCAGATACCCAGGTCATTTCAGCAAGCCCCCCTGCCCCCCACCAGCCGCCTGAGCTGTTTGCTGACGCGGGGTTTTCAGAGCCAGGCGCCAGCCCGCGGGTGGCTCTCTGCAGGTGTCAATTTATTCCAGAGATGAGGACACAGGAATCCTTACCACTCACACCCAGCTATGCCCTCCCCCTCTTCAGATCCTCTTAAGCTCTGTTTCCCCATCCCCTGGAAGGGACTTGGGGTTGGCTTCTCCAGGATCTTTTTCCTAAGCCAGGCTAGGCTCAGACACTGTGGCCTTGCTGTCCCCTCTTTCTCCCCCGTGAGATAGTCTGCCTCTGTCACCCCTTCTCCCTCAGGGTACTTTGGACCCTGGCCTCCTCCCCTTCAACCAGCTTCTCTCCCTACTTCCCTCCCACTGGAGCCCTCCCCCAACATCTCTCTCCTCTCCATAGCGCTCCCTCAGAGCATCTTTCCTTGGCCTCTTCCAGCTTGCTCCAGCTCTTGCCTTCAGTCTCTCACCCCGCGGTCTTTTTTTTTTTTTTTCCTTCCCATTTTTCTCTTCTACATCTCTCCTTGGTATTTCTCTCTCTCCTCCAAATTTCTTCCTCAATTTTCTCCCTCAAGCTCCCTCTTTCTTTCCTGTCTTCCCCTATCTTAGTCTCCCCCATTTTCTCTCCCCATCTCTGTCTACCACATCTTGCTCCCCCTCCTTCTTCCCATCCCTCTGCCTTGCTCTCTCCATTCCAGCCCAGGCCTGACTCCCCCAACAGGGTAGAGTTGAGGGACGGGGGCTCAGGCCGCAGCCCCCCCCCTTCCCGCAGTGGGGAAAATGGCTTGGCCGGGAAGGGGAGAAGGAGGGGGAGGGGGAGATGGGAACACACGGGGTCTGTGGGCCCATTCAAAGGATCATTCATAGACTGGAGAGAGGCAGAGACAAAGAGACCAAGACGCAGAGACACGGCGAGAGCATCCCTAGGCGGAGACACGCAGACAGAGCAGGCTGTGGGAAACCAGGCTCAGGGAGGGAGATGGGGAGAGGAGACCCCAGCAGACCACCACGCAGCCCCCTCCACCCAGCCTGGCTTAGCTCCTACCTGGCTCAGCCCTGGGGCCGTGGTGCCTCCATCCAGGGCTCCGAGTGGGGGGCGGACGGGCTTCGAGAGGGGGGCGGCGGCCTCTGAGCCCCCGCGGCCCCGAAGGCCCAGCCCCCGCCCGCAGCGCCTCACCCGGCGGGGGAGGGGGATCGCCCCAGCCCCGGGGGGCGGGGCCGGGATCCAGTCGATCCCCGGGAAAAGGAGAGCTAGGGGATGGGATCAGGGGGAGCCCGAGAACAGGGAACCCCGCAGTGGGCACGGAAGAGCAAGGAGGGAGCAACGGGACAGGACTGGATTGGAGATCCACTGGCTCCGTGGGCCCGCTTCGAGGGACCAGAAGGCGGTCCAGGCGGAGGATCCTAAGGGATCGGATGCTGGAGGAGGAGTCCACGGCAATCCCCAGGGGCCCGGGGCCCCGGAGCGCAGGATCCGCGGTGCAGGGGCAGGGATCCAGCCGGAATCCTCGGGGAGGGGGAGGGATCTAGTCGATCCCGAGGGCGGGCGGGAGGGGGAGGTCCGGGGAGTCTGAGGAGGGCGGGAGTCGAGTCCGGAGCCTCGAGGCAGAGGTCGACGCGGCTCCTAAGAGGGAAGGCGGGGGTGGGAGTAGTCTTCGGGGGACCCTCAGCAGCCGGGAGGCCCGGACTCCTGGCTCCGCGCGCCAGAGCCCGCCCGCCCCGCGTCCATCCCAGCCCGAGAGTGATGATCCGCCGGCGGAGCAGCCGCAGCAGCCCCGCGCGTCACCGCGCGGCCGCCTCCCCCGCCCCCTGCCGAGAGAGCGGCGCACACCCCTTGCTCGCACCCGCCTGCCCGCCCGCCCTCCGGAGTGTGGGGGGATTGGAGACAGTGGAAGGGGGCGGGAGTGGACAGACGGACGGATGGACGTAGCCACCCGGGGCAGGGTGGAGACATTCCCCCGGATCTCCCACCCTCCGGGCTCTCGCAGTCTAGGGAGGGGGAAAAGATCTGAACTACAGGAGGCGGAGCATCACACGAAGAGGGCGGGGCCTATGACAAGGAGGCGTGGTCATTCTTAAAGTGGGTGGGGTTAGGTGGTTATGGGTGGGACTTGGGTGTCCCTGAGACCACCTCTTTTTGGGAGTGGGTCTGATTTGAAGCTGAACAGGAGGAGCCTGTGGGGAAAGGGGCGGAACTTTGAGTAGGGACTGGGATCCTCGGAAATTAGCTGGAGGTGCGGGGGGGGGGGGTCGAGGAGGTGATCAACTTGGAAAGTGGGCCAATCCGTGACGCAAATCCTCTAGTTCCGCCCTCAACCCTGCTCCTCAGAGCTCGGCTCCTCCGCTCCTAATTGGTTCTAGTTTCTCCGCCCGCCAGACATCTTCGCCACTCAGCAGCTTTTTTACAAAGGCGTAAGTACCCGGGTGAGGACCTGGACGCTGAAATGAGCACGGCCCTGATTGGGCACCTGTGGACTCTATTTGCATGGGCAATCTGGATTGGCTGGCCTCTTGGGTGGCCTGGGCGGTGTTCCTCGCGCGCGTGACCACCGTAGCCATGGTCGGACTCGGGGCTGCTTTCCGCCGCCTTGGTGCCTTGTCTGGAGCTGGAGCCCTCGGCTTGGCTTCCTACGGGGCGCACGGTCAGGGGGCTGGGGATACAGCTGGGCTGTGCTGGGGGCGACCTATGGGGTCTGGTGCAGAGGCGGAGCCTATGAGAAGTCCCGGCTTCCCATCGACCGCACAAGCCCGCGGTGCCCTAAACCTTTAAAAGTCTCTCAGCTGGTCTAATTGGTTCCCATTGCTGCCCGATATGTGTTTCTACCAACCGGAAGCTTCCTGGGGGGGCGCCCTTTTTCACCAAGGTTCGCCCGGGTCCCCCGGGATTGGGGACAGTCGGCTCTGGCAGTAGATCTGGTCTGGTAACCTTTGCCTTTCTTCTTTACAGGCGCTCAGTTCCCGGACGCCTACGGGAAGGAGGTGAAGTAACTGCTCTGGATCTCCCCGACTTCCTAGTTTATGAAGGCAAAAAGTCTGGGGTCCCCGAGGAAAGTTGTGGGTGGGGGCGAATCGCGTGGATTTCAGGAAGCAGCAAGGGCCGCAAGACTGTAGCGTGGGTACTTGAAGGAGCGGAGCTGCAAGCTGGAACTTGGAGGGTGAGGGCAGAAGAGACGAATTCTGGTCCTGTGTGTCAGTGGGATCCCTGGCTCCGGTGTTGCTTATGAAATTCCCCATGTCTCTTTTTCTTACAGCTCTTTGATAAGACCAACAAACACCATTTCATACACAGCCTGGCCCTTTTAGGGGTACCTCATTGCAGAAAACCTCTCTGGGTAATCTGTTCCTCTACATAACGTTGACCAAGCCTATCCACTCTTATTTTGCAGTTCTTACAATCCTCTATTCTGTTATTTTTCTCCTTCAGGCCGGGTTGCTGCTAGCCTCTGGAACCACCTTATTCTGCACCAGCTTTTACTACCAGGCTCTGAGTGGAGACTCTAGCATCCAGATGTTGGGCCCGGTGGGAGGGAGCCTGTTACTCATAGGCTGGCTTGCCTTGGCTCTTTGAGGTCTCTTCTGTTTAATTACTAATATATCTGGGTAATTTGGGGGAGAATTGGGGTAGAAAGGGGATTAAAAGAGAAAAGCAAATGAAGAACTTCGGAATTTTTGTTCATTTAATCTCATGGAGCATGAAAACTCAACCTTTGAACTTCTTCCTGGAAGAAGTTCTAACACATCATTGAGCCTTGGTTCTGGGGATTCTGTTCAAGTTAACTTGTGTTGATGTTCTTAAACCAGCAGGCATCAGAGTCATAAGGAATGCTCCAAATAATGCAGATTCTTACTGAAACCTTTTGGCACCTGAGAGTCTGCATTTTAAAAAGTTTATCAGTAGTTCTGATGTTCACTAGAATTTGAAGATTACTGTAGGATTGTGATTCAGCTCTGTCATTCTACAAATTTCTCACCAACTTACTGTAAAAGTGGAGAGTTAAAACAAAGCAGGTCAGGAGGAGTATCATTAGTTATAAACTACTTTGCAGTGTAAAGCAGAAATAATATCATATATTGGGGAATTAGAAAATGCTTCACTGCTTGAGGTGATCCTTAAAGGACCTCTCTTGTATGGAGGATCATATAATGAACAAAGAGATTGAGGTGGGGAGAGGAAGGGTTTGGAAACAACATGAGTCTTCAGTGTGTGCTGAGTTTCTGAATTAGGCAAGAAATGAATGAGAAAAATTGGCAAGACAGACTGGACTGGCACAGCATGGAGAGAACTGGAAGATGTTTGGGAGGACAGCATTAAGTAAACCAGTGTTGATCTTGTATCAGACACACATTACAAGAAGGTTCAGACATGAGCAAGACAGATGATGTCCTTTCCCTGATGGAGTTTCCCATCTAGCAGTGGAAATGGGCTTTAAACAACAAAACACCCAAATATATCAGTTGTGCAATGTACCGAAGGAAAACAACAATGGAATAGCTGGGCTATAGAAGATACCCCCACCCTTTAGATGGGAAGATCTGGGGGTCCTATTGAAGTTGAATTAATGATGGGCAAAGTGGAGAAGTGTATTCTAGGCAGAAGGAATAGTTGGCAAGACAAGCTGAAAGGGACAGTTCAAAATCCTTGTGACGAAGAAAAAATGTGGTGAATTAGAGAAAGGACAAAACTAGTGCAGCTGCCATGTAGTGGACCAGGGGGTCCTGGATGGCTGGTATAGGCCTTGCAGTGGTGAGTTGCTTGGACTCAATTTGCAGTGCAGTAGTAAGTCTCTGAAAGGTTTAAGTCATCCTTTTAAAGTTTCTTTCTTTTTTCCTTCCTTCCTTTTTTAATTGCCATGTAATGTATTGTCATACATTGCTATTGTATCTTCTTCATATGAAGATGATACAATAAGGCTTCAGAGGAGACCCAGGGCCTTGCACATGTTAGGCAATTGTTTAATCACTGAGCTACATCCCCAGCCCTTTTTATTTTAAGACAGGGTCTTCCTGAGTTGCTCAGGTTGGCCTCCAACTTGGGATCCTCCTGCCTCAGCCTCCTGAGTAGTTTTGCACATTTGATAAAGTGTAATTTGTATATTTTGAGGGTACATACTTAATTTTCCTGAAGGTATACATTAAAATAAATGTGAATTGTGTAGACCCTTTCTCTAAATGACAAGATTTATAAGTAACCTTATCTATTGCTAGGTATTTCATCTAGTCCCATATCTTTACTTACAATCTGCATGCTTTTTAAATTTATCTTTTTAAAAATTTGTTCTTTTTAGTTATGATAATAATCTGCATACATTTTAAAAAATTTTTTTCATTGTTGATAGGCCTTTATTTATTTATTTATTTATATGGGGTGCTGAGAATCAAACCCAGTGCCTCACACATGCCAGACAAGTGCACTATCGCTCAGCTCCAGCCCCAGCCCCAGCCCCAATCTGCATACTTTGAAATCCAGAATTTCTATCTTCTACCCTAATCTCCATGAGTTCCACAGCCCCATACCAGCAGCTTTTAAGGCAGCCCTAAGTAAAAGTATATCAGAGATCTGTAAGAATTCCTGGTGGCTGGCTTAAAGATTGAGAGGGCCAGGAGTGAGAGATGGATAGTAAGGCCAAATAGTAGAGAGTCTTATGATGTGAGATTATCCTCTCTCCTGAGGGCAATGGGGCATTTATATCCAGGGAGGTGGCATGATTTGAGTTGTATTAGTAGAGGATCACATTTCTTCATTTGAAGACGAAACAATAAGTCCTCAGAGGAGACCTCCAGAGTGGCCTAAAGATCTAGTGGCAGAGTGAAGGCTGGCTCCTCAGTCTCCTACTTCCCAATCCAGTGCTCTAGCATTTTCATCCATCTCAGATGGCTTCTAGGGCAGAGAGGAAATGTCCTGGAGGAGACCCCAGGTGTCTGCAATGGCCATCTTCCATGTAATGAGTTCCCTAATACCTTAGCTTTGGTCCTGTCAAGTGGTTGGGCTCTTGGGGGAACCAAGATAAATAAAGCCTGATCATTAGCCCCCATTATTACTATTGTGATTTATTAAGTGAGGTATTTAAGTTAGGTTTGGTATAGTCAGGTGCGACACAGTGAAGGACAGACAAGATTGGTGAAAGATTATTACAGATCACAGAGAAAAGAGATTAGTATACCTCACAGGGAGGTATAGGAAGGGAGTCCAGGATGCACATGCTCAACCAGCAAGTGGAAGTACGAGAGATGGAGGGACTTGTAGACTGAAGTGGTTTCCCATGATAGAGCTGTATTAGATATCTGAAGGGAGCACAAGGCTAGAGTTGGAGGCAATCAAGGGTTATACTATTGAATTCACCAGAACTAAAGTCAATGTAAACTTGTCCCTGTGTTCTAGGGACTTATCTACCTAGAACACAGAAAGGGGGCTGGATGGGGAGTTCTTTGAAATATATAGGTCAAGGGAGACAGACCAAAAGCAGCATAACCAGATGGATGCCAAGGGTTAGGGGTATAGCTCAGTGGAAGCGCACTTGACTAGCACAAGGTCTTGTGTTCAACTCCCAACATCACACACACATAAAAAAAAAAAAAGTGACTGTCAAGCATTATAAATGAGGATTATGACAATTCCTGAACACTGTATCAGATTTCTCAACATTTCTGCAAGTTAGTAGAAGGGGAAGCTAAGGAAGATGCAGTGACTTGTTCTATATTATCCAGGTAGGATCTGGACAAGTTGTGATTTAAATTCTTCCCTGTTCAGCTCCCAGAGCTATGTTCTTTTCTTCTACAAATCAAGAAATTCAGATTTCAGCAGTGAAGATAGAACATCTAAAAAGATTAATATGTTGATGCAATGTGTTCAATGTTACAACTAGAATTGGGCTTGTTTTGCCTTTGGGGATTGGCAATACTTCAGTTTGTTTCCTGGGTTTTTAGCATGAAGAGGAATTAACTAGAAAAAAGAGAAATACAAATTAAAACTACACTGAGATTCCATCTCACTCCACTCAGAATGATAATTATCAATAATACAAGTAACAATGTTGGTGAGGACATAGGAAAAAAGGAACACTCATACATTACAGGTGAGACTGCAAATTGGTGCAATCAACATATCAGTAATAAATGAAAAAGGAGAACAGTATATCAGAGTGGCCTAAAGATCTAGTGGCATACTGTATTGGGTGGGCAGGCAGAAAATGATCAGAATAAGGTTGAATGTGTACTGTGCAGAAAGCTCTTCTGAGCCAAGTGAAAATCAACTTGGAAATTCTCTTTTTCTCCCGTGTCCACGCCATCATCAAGTTATGTGAGCTCAAGTGCATATCTGGAATCAGATCATTTCTCACCACTAACATTGCTGTCACCATGGTGCCAGATCTAAGTCTATCAGATTGCACTTAGATTTCTTTAAGAACTTCCTCCTGCCTTTGCCTACCTACAGTCTTCACTTTGTTGTTGTTGTTGTTGTTGTTCTCTTTAGATGTACATGACAATAGAGTGCCTTTTGACATATCCTACCTGGATAATATAGAACAAGTCACTGCATCTTTCTTAGCTTCCTGTTCTACTAACTTAGTATAACTTATTCTAATTAGGATCCCATTCTTATGGTCTTACATGATATGGAGTTTTACTGCTCATGTATTCATATATGAACATAGGAAAGTTATGTTCAATTTATCCCCCTTTGTCTAATCCAGTGAACTTCTAATTCTCCCAACCCCCCATTGTGTGTTAGCATACACATATTAAAACATTCAGCCTTTGGTTTGGGAGGATGGTTTATTTCACTTAGCATGATATTTTTCAGTTCCATCCATTTATCTTCAAATGCCATCATTTCATTCTTCTTTATGGCTGAGTAATATTCCATTGTGTGTGTGTGAGTGTAGATTGGTTCCATAGCTTTGCTATTGTGAATTGAGCTGTTATAAACATTGATGTGGCAGCATCACTACAGTATGCTGATTTTAAGTCCTTTGGGTATATGCCAGGGAGTGGGTCCAATGGTTCCAAGTTTTCTGAGGAGTCTTCATCCTGCTTTCCAGAATGGTTGCACCAATTTGCAGTCTCACCAGCAATGTATGAGCGTACCTTTTTCCCCACATCCTCACCAACATTTATTGTTACTTGTATTATTGATAATTACCATTCTGAGTGGAGTGAGATGGAATCTCAGTGTAGTTTTAATTTGTATTTCTCTAATTGCTAGAGATGTTGATACTGCCTACTCTTGACAGAGCAACCTGAAAGAGATCTTCATAGTAGAGATCCAGTAGTCCTTGACCTTGGCTATATATTAAAATCTAGAGCATTCTTAAAAAGTTCCTATGCCTGCATCTCACCCTGTATATTCAAATTTAATCAATATCAAGTGAGATCCAGGCAGAGATGTTTTCTAAAACACTCCAGATGATTCTAACGTGTAACCAGGGTGGAGAACCACCATTTCACTGCATTTTAAATTTCATGTCTTGCCTGATGCAGTAGCGCAGGTCTGTAATCCCAGCTGCTCGGGAGGCTGACGCAGGAGGATCTAGAATTCAAAGCCAGCCTTAGCAATGGTGAGGTGCTAAGCAAGTCAATGAGACCCTGTCTCTGAAGAAAATACAAAAAGGTCTGGGGATGTGGCTTAGTGGTTAAGTGCCCCTGAGTTAAATCCTGGATACAACAACAACAAAAAAGTCTCATGCCTCCTCTCTGTCTAAACCTTCCAATACTTTCTAGCTCAGAGTATAACCCAGTGGTCCAGAAAGGCCTTATGTGATCTAGCTTCCTATCGCCTCTGTGACCTTGTTGTTAACTCCTTTGTTCACTGAACAAGTAAGGCACACAGGGTTTTTGCCCTTTGCTATTTCCTCTGCCTGATATACTCTTCCCCAGAAACCTTCCTGGCTCAATTCCTCCTTCAGGTTTTTGCTCAGCTATCATTTTCTCAGTGATGCCTTCTCTCTTTAAAAGTACAAACCCAGCAAGGTGCTCTGGTACGTGCCTACATTCTCAGCTACTATGGAAGCCCTAGCCGGGAAGATCCCTTGAGCCCAGCCAGAAGTCCAAAATCAGCCCAAGCAATATTTTTTTTTTTTAAGCGGGTGGGGGTGGGGGATGGGGGTTGGTGGCCAGGGATTGAACTCAGGGACATTCAACCACCGAGCCACATCCCCAGTCCTATTTTGTGTTTTATTTAGAGACAGGGTCTCAGTTGCTTTTGCTGAGGCTGGCTTTGAACTTGCAATCCTCCTGCCTCAGCCTCTTGAGCAGCTCCTGGGATTACATGCATGTGCCAATGCACCCAGCTCTGGGCAACATTTTTGAGACCCCTGTATTAAAAAAAAAAAAAAAATTGCAAGCCTGTGCTGGGAATATAGTTCAGTGGTAGAGCACTTGCCTAACATGTGTGAGGCCCTGGGTTTGATTCCCAGCATTGCAAAAATTAATTTAATTATAAACCCTATCCATCATTCCCTATCCTTATCCTGCTCTATTTGACTTTCTAGCACTTCTCTCCATCTGACTTTTCATCTGTCTTACTTATGTCTCTTCCCCAAAGAGCATGTGCAGTTTTAAAAAAGACAAACTTTTGATCTCCTTGAGCACATGTTCTATTGGGGCAGAGACATAAAATTTGGGTCTGAAGCACATGATGATTGAAGCTTTGGAAGAAGCTGAGCAGCCCTAGGACTAGTCCAGAGGAACATGGACATAGGAAGAGAAGGAGGTCCCCAAATGTGTTTATCCCTATGCTAATCTTTGTTGAGTGATCCTTGCATCTGCTTGGTTAATAGACAGGCACCTGAGGTAATCCTGGACTCCTCACCCCCCAACTAAGTTCTAAATTATTGTCTAAATATCTCTAAAGCCAATCACTTCTTGCACCATCACTACTACAACCACCCTTTCTTTCCATAGACTGCTAACAACCCAGTCTGGGCATCTCAATCGTTCTCTACATTGCAGTTTAACAGATCTTTCTAAAACACAAATTTGATCTCTCCAGGTCTTAAAATCTTTGGGTGGGTTTCTTGCTGCCCTTGGGGCCAAGTCCCAGGCCCATAAAGCCCTTTGTGTATGTCATTGCCTCTCTAAATACACCTCTTTCCAGCAGTCCCCAAAGTGTAAGTAGAACTTCAAATACCTAGCCGGGTGTGGTGGAGCATGCCTGTAATCCCAGCAGTTTGGGAGGCAGAGGCAGGAGGATCTTGAGTTCAAAATCAGCCTCAGCAAAAGCGAGGTGCTAAGCAACTCAGTGAGACCTTGTCTCTAAATAAAATTCAAAATAGGGCTGGGGATGTGGTTTAGTGGTTAAGTGCCCCTGAGTTCAATCCCTGGTACAAAAAAAAAAAAAAAAAAAAAAAGAACCAACTTCAAATACCTCCCTCAGCTTAGGACCCAGACTAAGAAACTCCTCTTAGGGGAAGCCTTTTCTGGCTAAGCTTTCTCCTCCATAACCCTGAGCCTCACCTCACGCACACTCTTTATGGACACTGTTTGGCTGCCTGTCATCCGCGTGGCTGGAGTGCAGGACGTACATGCAAAGTGCCTGTGGGGGTCACCAATGCGTCAGGGAGAAAAGACAGCGAGGTCGCCCTAGGGAGGTAGAAACAGAGCCAGGAACTAGTCCTGGAAGCCGGAGAGTGTATGTGAGGGTGTTCCGCTGCGTCAGCGAGGCCCGAACCGCCCTTGGGAAGAGGAAACCAGGGTCTAGAGCGCCAGCGTCAGCCGCCTTCGCTTCCCACCAAGGGGCATTGAGCATTCAGCGCTATAGGACCTGGCGGGGGTCTCAGGATTGGGCCTTAACCGGCCGCCCTCACTAGGCGGCCTCTTCTCCAGGCATCTGCATTCGGAGCGGAAGAGGAGGACACAGCGTTGATGCCAAGGAGTGCCAAGTGCAAGGTCTGCGGCCCGGCAGGAGAGGCGGCCTTCATTCTGCGCAGACTCGCCGCCCGGGGTGTGAGGGGTGGGGCCTGGACGACCGAGGGGCGGGGTCACGCCTTGGGCCCGCCTTCTCTAGCGCCTGTGAGCTGCCGAGTGCGCGGTCCCCGCGTTATTCTGGGGGCTTCAGGTGAGCGGGGACATAGAGGGATCAGGGAGGCCTCCCTCGAGGTCTGTTGGTTTGACTGCAGGTCCATTTGTCCTGCCGTCTGCCCAGAGCAATCTTCTTGGAGAATGGGCGAACAAAGGGAGGGGGCGGTTCTGGGGCCCCTGAGGGAATCCAGGGTCCCAGGTACCCCGCCCCTCCCGCTGACACTTTCGGTTTCTCCCCGAGTCATAGGCGCCGCCCAAGAGACCCTGGGCCGGCGCCGGGCGCAGCTGCCTCTCTGCGTTTGCCTGTCCGTCTTTGTGTCTGTCTCTGTGTCTGTCTGGCTGTCTCCGAGCTTGCCTCCACTTCCAGAACTAAGCCGCCCCGACACCTCCATCCTGCGAAAACCGACCCTTTCCCATGTCAGGTAAGTGGGCGCGAGGTGGGGGTCTCCGTTATCCCCCCCACAGACTTGGGCACCGGGTGTCGAACACATCCTCTAGGAATGTGCTCAGACTGGCTGTGCGGGCCCTCCCGGGTAGCCACCGCCCTGCTCCCCTACCCCATCTTTCCCCGCCTCTTCCTACCACATTTTCCGCGGAGCCTCGCGGCCCTCGGGCTAAGAAAGGGCAGGGGTGCTCAGGGTGTTTTCTAATCTACCCCTGTCTTCCACAGGCTACTTGCCCCCAAAAGGCTATGCCCCTTCACCCCCACCTCCCTACCCTGCGAGCGCTGGGTACCCGGAGCTGGCGCTGCATCCTGGACCCGGGCAGGCGCCAGTGCCTGCCCAGGTGCCAGTGCCTGCCCAGGTGCCAGTGCCTGCACAAGTACCTGCCCCTGCCCCAGGCTTCGCTCTCTTCCCTTCGTCTGGCCCGGTGGCCCCAGGGTCTCCTGCCCCTTTCTTGCCACTGCCAGGGGTTCCTTCTGGCCTTGAATTCTTGGTGCAGGTAAGTGGAAGGGAGAGTGACGGAAGAAGAACTGGGCATTTAGGCCAGCCGTTTGATGTCAACGCTAGCCCTACTCTTTCCAGATTGATCAGATCTTGATTCATCAGAAGGCTGAGCGAGTGGAAAGTAAGTAGAAATCCGAGTCAGTTGAGCATGTTACCATGGCAGGGATGGTAGGTTCCTGGACCGGTGATGTGCATAAACCTCAGCTTGTTACCTTTGACAGCTTTCCTAGGCTGGGAGACCTGTAACCGGTATGAACTGCGCTCGGGAGCTGGGCAGCCCCTGGGTCAGGCGGCGGAGGAGAGCAACTGCTGCGCCCGTCTGTGCTGTGGCGCCCGCCGGCCACTGCGTGTCCGCCTGGCAGACCCTGGGGACCGTGAGGTGCTGCGCCTGCTCCGCCCGCTCCACTGTGGCTGCAGCTGCTGCCCCTGCGGCCTCCAGGAGGTGGGCGGTGAGGGATGAGACCTGGGAGAGGCTCCAGTTGGGGGCGGGCCTTGATAGCACAGGGTGGTGAATGCTGTGGATGGGAACTTTAGTGAGGGGACTAAGTAGTAGTCTGAAGGTAGAGCTGAGACCAATGAGGGCTTAAGCCAGGGTCCTGGGCTCGGCAATGATTCTAACTGCCTTCCATTCCAGATGGAAGTACAGGCTCCTCCCGGCACCACTATTGGTCACGTGCTACAGACCTGGCATCCCTTCCTCCCTAAGTTCTCCATCCAGGATGCTGATCGCCAGACAGTCCTGCGAGTGGTGGGGCCTTGCTGGACCTGTGGCTGTGGCACAGACACCAACTTTGAGGTATTAGAAATAAGGGGAGGGCTGGGGATGTGGCTCAAGCGGTAGCACGCTCACCTGGCATGCGTGCGGCCCGGGTTCGATCCTCAGCACCACATACCAACAAAGATGTTGTGTCCCCCGAGAACTAAAAAATAAATATTAAAAAAAAAAAACTCTCTCTCTCTCTCTCTCTCTCTCTCTCTCTCTCTCTCTCTCTCTCTCTCTCTCCCTCCTCTCTCACTCTCTCTTTAAAAAAAAAAAAAAAAGAAATAAGGGGAGATTCCTGGGAACTTCATAAACCAAGATGGCAGCTTCCATGAGGCAAGATGGCTTGACTAAGACCAAGCCCTTGACTTCATCAGTCCAAATCTATTGTTGCTCCTACTGTACACTTCCAATTTTCCTCCATTCAGAAATGGGATAGCCCTGGGGTCTTAATATAAAAGCACAGCAAAAAGGATTTCATCCTCAAGAGCAAATCTGATTGTTAATTACAACCCTATATTTTGTGTACATGTGTGGAGGGGGATCCAAAGCCAGCCTGGATTTAGGGTGAAGGATGATTATTAAGTCTGTCATAGACTTGGCCCATGTGGTTGGCATGCATGAGTCTGTGATCCTATTCTCTGGAGCAAGCCTTGATTTAGTATCCCAGCTTGCCCTGCTGACCTTGAAGTCCAAATGACCCATCTGACATGAAGTCTAGGTTTTGCCTTTTCTCTGTGCCTATCACCAACCTGAAGCCTGGAAAATTCAAGTGGTGAGAATTTCAGGAGGCCTGGGAAAACATCTTGGTTTCTAGAAGACAAGAACATTCCACAGTCCCCTGAGTTCTTTAGGGGATAATTTTCTGTGCGGATAAGAATAAAATAACAGGTATCATCCCATAGACTTTCCAATGCTTCTGATGAGGTGCTTTACCTCCTAAGGTAACTTTTAAAAAGTGAATCATCTTGATAGTCATAGGGAGGTTCTGTGATGGGAACCAATTTAGAAGGAGACTGTTGTGTGATCTCTGTATGGGAATGTGTAAAGTGTGAGGTTCTTATAGGTCCAGTGTCCCTTTTACGCCATTATAAATGGTCTATACTTGAAGCTGTTTGACTTTGAGACTGTTTGACCAGCTGGGACAGACCTTGCCCAGCCTGAGACTGGGCTGCAGGAAGTATTCCAGAACTGTAGGATAGAAAGGAAGGGGATGGACAGGATATAAAAGGAAATCACTCCAGTTCTAGTCACTGGAGACTAAGCATAAAAAGGACCAGGAAGTCACTATGAATTACCACCCATTTGTCAAGATTGTTTCTTCTGGGATCAAAGAAGTCTATGGAAATCATGGACCCAGAGATCCATAGGCTTGGATCTCTGTAGATTAAGCTCAAATTCAATCCTGGACAAGGCACAGCCCTACTTTGCAGATTAAAATCACCTTTGGGCAGACATAGCTTTCTAGGAGCTTGCTTGACTAGTAAAGTACACCAAGATTTTGTCATCCTTCTTTGCCATCTCAGCCAGGCTACTTTGTGCAGGGTACAGACTGTACTGTGGGCTTTTGGGACACTGGTAATCAAAGCAAATCTAGCAATTAGTTAAACACTAAGTGGATTTTGTGCTTCTATTTCCTCCTACCACTGATGTCCAGGTGTGATCTCTAGAGAACAACAGATGTGAGTCTAAATCCTGATTTTCCCTATGTATTTGTAGCGTGACCCAGGGTACCTCAGTTCCCCCAGCTTCTATAGAAACCCAAAGCTCTTAGGAAGATTCACAAAGTGTAGAGCCTGTACAATACATACATTGGCAACTGTGGGAGTGAGATTTGAGGCAACTGAGATTGGCTGCATCCTCCCCAGTTGGGTCTTTCTCCCTCCCAACAGGTGAAGACTAGGGATGAATCCCGCAGCGTGGGCCGCATCAGCAAGCAGTGGGGAGGGCTGCTCCGAGAAGCCCTCACAGATGCAGATGACTTTGGCCTACAGTTTCCACTGGATCTGGACGTGAAGGTGAAGGCTGTGCTGCTGGGAGCCACATTCCTCATTGTGAGTTGGCTATCTCTGCCCCTTCTGCCTCTCATTTGCTGTTATGTGAAGCTTTGGGCACTTCCTCGCCTTTCTAGGAGGTTAGAGACAAATATTATGGAGGGTTGTGGGTCCAGACCTGGGTTGTGATGACTGAGCCAGACTGGCTCAGCCAGATCTCCTGTTGACGGTGGCCTTTCCTCAGGACTACATGTTCTTCGAGAAGCGAGGAGGTGCTGGGCCTTCTGCCATCACCAGTTAGAGGCTGCCTCTGGGTGAGGAGACCATCGCCTCAACAAGAATTCAAGATGGTCCCCTGCCCTGGCCTGGCCCCTCCTCAGAGGCAGCCCCTTTCTTCCACGTACACTGCAGGGAACAGACACGGGTGCCTGAGTGGCTGGGGGCATGATGCCCTATCCTTACCCTCTCCCCTGGCCTCCTTCACCTGTGGCTCTGCAGAAGGGTGTGTATGAGAGCCCTACCCTGCTGTCTCCTACCACTGTCTCCCAGCAGTCCCTTGGCACACAGGCATTATTGGCTTTCAGATTGTCCCTACCCACTCCTTCCCAACTTCTTCCAGGGTCTCTGTACCAGAAGTGGCCTTTGGAACCCATGGCTTAGATTTTACAACAGGGCTGGCAGGGGAAGGGCAAGTAGCACCAAAGATGGCAGATATACCACTCTTCCCCTGTATCAGCTTGGCCAATTCAGCATTAGGCTGAACTGGCATTTTGAGGGGATTCCTAGTTCCCCGCCAACAGCTGTAGAGGCTGGGCTCCAGTGCCAACTTCCTTTCTCCCTCGGGCCCTGCCCATAGCTGGTGCTTGCTGCAGCTTCCTGTGCCTTATTTAACCCCCACCCCTTCCTTCCCTTGCCTAGGAAGGAGGCTGCACCTTTGTATGTTGTATTCATATAAACTTTGTAACTTTTTGAACATTTGAAGATGTATGTAATGGGGGAGGGTAGAAGAAAGAGTTGATGTGGGAAAAAACAAAGGGAACTATCTCCTAGTCTATTCTACAAGGATCAAATATCCTTAAGTCCAGGAGGGCAATTTTCATCACCCATAATGGGGAGGGCTGTTTGAACCATATGCCCCAAGTCAATATGGCTGCTTCCACCATCTTGGCCCCACAGAGTCCAATGAGGTAGCTAATAACACTTCAGGATGGCTATTCCCATGGTCCAGTGTGACCCCTTGATCACTTTCTGTAGTGATGAGAGGCATCCTTTGGATAAGACATGTTCCAGTTCTTTTCCTTCTAAGTCCTCCTCTTCTTTGGGAGTGTGGTGGACTTGATCCTTCTTGAACCAGCCAAGGGAACTTAGGCCCTCAGAGGCCAAGGAGCAGGGTACGGAGGAAACATTTGTCAGCGACCAACTCTGTGCTCCCCTGGGCATTTCCTGTATCCGCCTATAGCAAGTGGGATCTCCCAAGGTGGGAAAGTCTGCTCCTGTCAAGACCTTATTCTGGTTCTGCTTAATCTTACATGGCAGGCCCTGAGGGGCCCAGGCATTCTGTGCTGGTGTCCATGGCTGAGACAGTAGAGCTCAGGACCGGGCCAGGACATAACGACTGGCAGCAGAGAGGTCCCACTGGTAGTGCTCCAGGATGCGCCAACAGTCCGTTCTAGACCGGCTACTCAGGTGGAAGAGCTGGTCTACCTGAGGATCAACAGGGAGGGTAGCTGAATGACAGATAGGAGGGCAGGAGAAGAGGGAGCCTGGGAGAAGGGTCTGGCTTTACCTTGAGGTTCCGGATGGCAGAAACAACATCTCCCCCAGTGGCTTTTAGTGCTGCTTGGCACTCCTGGTGAGTGACTCCATGCACGTTCAGCTCCATCTGTGGGGACAAAAGCCTCGCTCAAGTTCCTGCCCTATTCTCTAGGCCTTTCTGGACACCAGGCCCATTTCAATGAGACCTCACCTCTGTAATCTTCCTCTGCCACTCAGGGTCAAGCAAGAGGCCTCCAGAGGAGACAGTGGCTTTACTGGCTCCAGGCACTCCAATGCGGTGATTGTGTGGGGGTTCTCTTTTGGGCCAAGGAGGCCGTTCCCTAGGGGGCTGGCTGGGCTGAGAAGAGTTGGAGGTAAAAGGCAGGCGTGGAGGCAGGCCTGGGGGTCCTTGAGGCACAGCTCTGGCATGTCGAAGTTCAGGGGGGCTTGAACCACCCCCTGTAGGGCGAGGGCCCAAGGACAGAACTGACTCCAGACTCTTGGAAATACCTGCACAGTTGAGAAAGAAACTTGAGAGGAGGCTCAGGTGCTAGGTCCCACCTTCTTCCTGCTTTCTGTCTTTGTTTTGAGCTGGTTGGACTTGACCATGTATATAGGTAAGATGATAAAAGACATATGTAAGTGGGCATCAAGACCTAGGCAGCTGAGGGGCCAAAGAGCAGAGAACTCAAAAGGTCAAAGTGGTAACACACTGTCCAGTGGGGAAGGAAGGAGGACTTCAGATCTCTTAAGATCTTCAATTATCGGAGCTGGGGTGGTGGCTCAGTGGTAGAACACTTGCCTAGCATGTGTGAGGTACTGAGTGTGATTCTCAGCACCCCATGTAAGTAAATGAACAAAACAAAGGCCCATCAATGTCTAAAAAAAAAAATATTTAAAAAAAAAAAAAAAGATCTTCAATTGAAGCTGGCCACTATGGCATATGCCTGTAATCCCAGCAACTCTAGAGGCTGAGGCAGGAGGATTGCAAGTTCCAGGCCAGCCTCAGCAACTTGGCAAGGCCCTAAGCAATTGCACAAGACCTTGTCAAAATAAAAAATAAAAAGGGACGGGGATGTAGCTCAGTGGTCAAGTGCCCCTGGGTTTAATCTTTAGTAGAAAAAAAAAAAAATCAAGTATAGCTAGGATTACCACTGGCAGAATTTGAAGGAAGAAATCATATATGCAAAGGCATGAATCCTGCATACCCACCTTTCATCCTCTGCAAGGGAGCCTTCCTTCTCTGGCCCCATGCTGGAGGTAGATCCCGAGGCTTTGCCTTCTCTCTGTCCCTGTCAGAGAATAATCCAGTTCATCCTCCATACCTCCTCCACATACATATATCAATGTCACCTCCCAAAGAAACTGGTGCTCCCAGGCATGCTGAGACCTAGGGTGGAAACTCCTCCTGGGAGACAAGTACAGCTTCTCTCCAGTTTGTCCTAGTCTTATTCCTAAGTTTCCCATTCAGAGAAGTTGCTGTACATAGCCCATTCCCCTAGTCCAGCCTAGTCCAGTTCTATCCCCAGCCTTTCAGCTCCTTACCCATCTATGCTTCCCCTGTGTTGCTCTCCTCGGGCTGGAGAGCCTCTGTGGACTGGGCGGGTGGCTGGAGAGCCTCCCAATTCTGCCAGCGTCACTGCTGAGGCTGGGAAACTGCCCACTTTAAAGGTGCGTCCATTCTGTCCCTTCCAGGTTGTGGAATCTGGGCTGTGTGGGAAGAGAAGCTGGTGAAGGGGATGTAAGCAAGGGGAAAAGTGGCAGCTGGGCTTGGGCACATTCAGCTCACTATGCCTTGTGGCTTTTTCTGCCTGGACGAAGGGAAGCCTTTTTTTCACCAACACAAAAGGTTCTCTATGGGTCAGCTGGGGCTCCAGCAGGGAGACTGGGACTGCACTGGAGCTTAGGGCCCAGTGGGGAAGGGAGAAGACACAGAAGACCAGGGTTCAAGGAGTCAGAAAGAAGCAGAGAGGGGACCAAGAGTCAAGAAGGCTGGGAGTGGGTGCCTCCCCTGGGGGTCCCTGGGGAGTGCTAGGCTGTCACCTGCCCTCAATGATGGTAATGGGGTCACCGGGCTCCATCCGCAGGGCTCCTGGCTCTGTGACACTCCTCACGCAGCGTCCTTCAGAAGGCCAGGCCTGTGAAGACAGAAGGAAACAGCTGGGCTTTTGGCCTGAGTCAAAAGGGTAATATGGGAGCAGTGCAGAAAATAGACCTCTCTCTGTTTATATAGCTACCATTCATACCCATACCAGGTGTGTCCTCTGTGCTGGGATCCAGTGGGATTATCCCTACCTCTCAGGTGTAATCCAGTGGGGGAGGCCAATCTGGATTCCATGCCAAATTAGACCCAGCCCAGGGTTCAGAAAGAAACAAAGGAAAGCCCTGTCTCTGCCTAGGGGGACCAAGGGGACGGCCATCCTGTTCACCACTTTTATCCTACATCCAGGCCCATCAGATTGGCCTCCTAAGGCACCTCTGCAAAATTTCCACTCCTCTCCAGTCCTACTGCTTCGACCCTCACCCTGACCTCTTCATCTCACTTCTGTTTCACATTCGTTGTCAGTGTCATCCTTCTAAGTTATTCCTGGACCAGGCTAAAGTGAAATATTGTTGACTTGTGATTTCCCTGTTCAACACCCTTCCACAACTCCCAAATGCCCTCAGAGTGAAGACTAAACCCCTTTAATAGTAGAATGTGGTGATTTAGGGAAAAGCTCAGAAGTCACTTTGATTAGAGCTGATCCCAACTCCTCTGCTTCTTGTGTAACTTCAGGCAACTTCTAAATTGTCATTGCCTCAACTGCCCCATCTCATAAATGGAGATGAAAATAATTACCTCATAGTATTATTGAGAGAACTAAAATACTGAACAGGCATAAGGATACCTGTAAAATATCCTTAAATACAGTATCTCACATAGATCAAGGGCTCTTTGTAGTAGCAGTGGTCCTTAACATGCCCTAGGAAATGCTCACCTCTGTGGCCTCATTACTTCCTTTTCCCCTCCCACGTGGAACCTCTGTTCCTTTGCTTGTAAAACGCCCATGGAGAGGGTGGGGGTGGGGTGGGGAATGACCTGCCGCTTGCTCTCCTCAGTCCCCCTTCTCTGGCTCAGACCAGGACTCCAGCCCTTCAGCCTGCATCTGAGTAGCCACTCCTCCACCCGCCCCTCCCCCACCCACCTCCGGGGCTCTGAATCTGTTTTGTTTATAGCTAGGTCTCACAGCCCTACTTAGACCTGCGGATATGTTAGTTTTTTTTAAACCCACCTTGCTAGAGATTGACCCCAGGACCTCATGCATATTAGGCAAATGCTTTACCACCAAGCTATACTCCCAGTCTTTTAAAATTTTTAACTTTGAGACTGGGTCTGGCTAAATTGTCCATATTGTTCTCTTAACTCTTGTGTTCCTCCTGTCTCAACCTCCCGGGTCTCTGGGATTAGAGGTATGCACCACAGCCACCTGGCTAGGTGATATTTGTCTAATGTATGAAATCCTGGGAGAGAGAATGAAGGAAAGAGACTGGATCTGGGGAGTTGCAGGTCCCCACCTCTTGCAGCAACCCTTCCAGGCAGGAAAAGCTAGGCCGGTCCGCAGGGTGAGGGGCCCAGCAGCGTAAGGCCAGGGAGTAGAGGGCCCTGGAGCACAGGGGAGGCCTTGGAAGCCGAGCTCGGTCCTTCTCCAGCCGCTGCAGGATGAGGTATGGTGGAACCCCAGCCCAGGGTTCCTCACCCCCAGAGAACATCTCCCACAAGGTCACTCCAAACATCCACACATCAGAGGCTGATGAGAAGGCTCCCTGACGCAGGCTCTCTGGGGCACACCTGCGGAAGTGGAAGTTGATGGGGGCTGAACATGTATACCTGGGAGTTTGCCTCTCGCTGGGCACCCATCCCCTTGATGCACCTACCCCCTGGATGCTCCCATCATCATTTCCTTGCCCTCCCAGACCCCACTATCCCTCTGACTGCCCTAGGCCTGCAGATCTTCAGATCTGCCTCCCAGGCTCCAGTCTGACCACCCACATGCGTTGCCCTCACCAGGCATAAGGGATAGGGCGGGGCCCGCCCATGACGTAGCGGCCCCGGGCCCCGCCCAGCGGCCGCACCAGCCCGAAGTCTGCCACCTTGATAGTGCGTGGTGAGGCCAGCAGCAGGTTGCGTGTAGCAAGGTCCCGGTGCACCAGTCCACGGGCTCCCAAGTACGCCATGGC